CTGCAGTGTTAGGTAAAAGCCACAGCTGAGAGGGGAGCCCCTGGGAGTGTTTGAGGGCACTGAATTCTAGACTGGAACAGAGACAGTAGTGATTAGAGATGGACAGAAGTTGTTCCAGTTATGTCAGAATATTACTCTGCACCCTTCCAAATTTCCCACCATCTCCTTCCCCCAAATCTATTGCTTTAGATTCCCAATCCCTGATGCTTTGTGTCTTGTGGGTAGCATAGCTTTAACTTGCAGACAATCAGTACCCAATCAGTACCGGATCTCAGTTCCCATCTTCCTTTCCTTTGATTAGTCTTTACCATGTGCTTGTCAATGGTTGCCCTTTACCATTTGTTAGGACCCTGTTTTTAAGCTCAGAGAAACAGAGAATTGCATAGCACAGTATGTGGGAGAGGGCACTACACATGCTACAGTCCCTCAAATCCTGCTCCAAGTACCTGCATTCCCCATCTCCTGTTTGAGGCCTGACCAAGTCTGTAGCATCCATGGAATCACTGCTGACTGCAGGAAAATGAGGTCAAGATTAAACTTCCTGAGCTGAAGCTTCAAGTATTTAAAAACAATTTTGGCATCAAGAAGTAGGATTTGTAGCATAATAAGGTCTTGGGAGAGTACATGGAATTGCAGTCAGGGACTGGAACAGGTCAAATACTGCAGTGCTGCTACTGTGCCTACTCTGCCGCCAGGGATGCATGTCAGTTCCCTGACATGCTGGGAGCTTATTTGGGAATAGAGACCTGTGCAACTGGTTTCAACCATTGGATCTTGTTGCTGTTTGGAGGGCGTGGGCATAGAGAGGGGCTGGGGAGAGGAATGGACATGAAGTACAAAGTGTAAAGTTCCATGTCCATGGGGAGCAAGAACTGAAACAAAAAAGAAACTGAAAACCAGTAAGGAGGCAGGGTGAGGACATAATATCCAGAGCTGGATGAAACCCCTGGGATGATGTTAATGCCACTCCCTTTGGTGCAGGAGTTCCTGACCCCTGAGCAGCGGCGATTTGCTGTTCGGGGGGTTCCTACCTTGCTGGAGGTCTCAGGATTCTCCTATTTCTATGGTGCCTTCATGGTTGGGCCTCAGTTCTCCATGACAGACTACCAGAAACTGGCAAGGGGTGAGATGACTGACGTTCCAGGCCAGAGACCCAATAGGTAATACAAAGCTGCTTGGCTTCTCCCTTTCCTACGATCCTAGAATGCCGACTCCTCCGCATTCCCTGCAGCAGACTGCCTTCTTACCTGGACACAGAACTACCATGGCCAGGAGTGATCTATGAGACAAGGCAGTCTTTCAAAAGTCTCTTGTAACTCTGCTTAATGTCCCAGCATTGTTCCAGGGCATGAACATCAACAACCATTTGACATCTTCAGTACAGACTCAGCTCCAGCCTGGTGATGTTTGCATCCCAGCTTCCAAATGGAGGCAGCTGCTGCAGTGGAATGTCGTGACTCCCTGTCGCTGTTTCCCCCACCTCCTCCTCTCCACCTCTTGTTTTTAAAACTATGAGTTTGATGGTCTCTTTCCAAGGCATTTCCTTGACCTTGGTATTTTTCTTTCTCAGTTTCGTGCCTGCTCTCAAGCGCCTGAGCCTGGGTCTCTTGTTTCTGGTAACCTACACCTTGTCGAGCCCATACATCTCTGACGAGTACCTCACCTCAGATGACTATATGGTATGTATTCACTTGGCCTTGTGGGGTGGGGAAGAATTCCGCTTCTCTGGTGGGCACTGGATCTACAAGAGTGGAATTATTTTTTTATTGCTTTGTTTTTATTTTTGCCTCAATTTAAAAATAAGTCAGCAACTAGTGATAAGATTTTCCACAGCTAATTTGGCTTTACTGCCTGTTGTGATGATTCCACCTGATGCAGAACAGGAATCTGTTGAGCAGAACTGAAACAAATGAAAACTTTTACAAATAGATAATTTATCTTAAATGCTACTGTTGGTTTTCATATGTATTTTATGACCTTTTAATGACTTTTCATTTAACCATTATGTGCAAGGAATTTCACTAGAGTAACTCGTAAGGCTTACCATAATCTTTGACGTTCTTGGAAAGCTCCTAACAAATAATTCCTACTGGCAGATTATAAGCAAGCATTTTGATTATGCTAATCCCAGAGTCTTCCCAAACTCTACCTATTTCAGTATAGCAAAATATTTCCAAAGGAAAGAGAATGATGTATTAAGTTTGCATAAGCCTGGCAGCCCAGCCCGTATGTCTTAACACAGATTAAACAAAAGACGGTGATGAAATACCTTGTGTCATAATGGCCACTCAACTCCAGGTTTTATTTTTACTCTGTTTCTCTCTTATCTCTGCAGGAGAAGCCTTTCTGGTTCCGTTGTGGTTACATATTGATCTGGGGCAAAATTATACTCTACAAATACGTAACTTGCTGGCTTGTTACGGTGAGTCTAGATGTCGTTCCAGAAGCAAAAGACAAATGAATAAAGGTCCAAGCCTCTTAGACTTAGCACTAAATGGAAGAAATCCAAATATCTGGAAATCACTGCAGGTCAGTTCAGTTTGCTTTAAGTTAGCAAAGGCTAGCTAACCAAAAGGCAGTTTTTAATCCATATGTTCCATCTGTAGTGATGCTCTGAACGCAGTGATAGTCAGCACTTCCTCAGCTCTGCTTCTCCAGCAAAAATAGGGCAATATTTTCATCTTGTCACTCTTGTGCATTTTCTGACAGGAAGGTGTCTGCATCCTTGTTGGTCTGGGGTACAATGGGAAAGACCAGAATGGAAAACCTTTGTGGAATGCCTGTGCCAACATGAAGGTCTGGCTGTATGAGACAACACCTTTGTTCACAGGGACCATTGCTTCTTTCAACATCAACACCAATGCTTGGGTGGCCCGGTGAGCAGGACAAAATTCTCCTTCTATAATGTGTCAATTCTGTTCTGCCAGCAGAACCAAGACCTTAGGCTAAGCAGGAGCACTAGAGGAACAGTCTGCCAGTTTTCAGTTTGTGCACCTTTTCCCATGTTTTGCTGCTGTGCCCTTAGAAACAGGTTATTGGGGTATTGGGTCAGAGAGCTCTATTAATTCACCTGGAATGGCAGTTCATTTATAAAGGCAAGCAGCTGATGGCAGCAGAGACTAGAATGGGACTACTGCAAGCCCTTGGGGCTGCCTGCCTGCTCAGCCAGCCACAGAGCTGCTTCCTGCATCATGGCTCTTGGTGCTCCCCACTCCAAACTCAGATGGGTTTTGGTTCAGCACTTGCTGGGACCCACAGCTAAGTTGTATGTCCTGACACCCCCTCTCCCTTATAGCTGGGATTTCTTTAAGACTGTTTGGATGTAGGTTTTGCCCGGGTCATGCTGTTCCTGCCAGCACGGGGCGTGCAAAGGCATTGGGTCCCCTGGGCCCTTCATCCCTGACACAGCAGGGGAGGGCAGAGGATAACCTGCAAGCACTTTGTTTCTTTTCTGCTCTAGCTACATCTTCAAGCGCCTGAAGTTCCTGGGCAACAAACTGCTGTCACAGGCCCTGGCCCTGTTCTTCCTGGCCATCTGGCACGGGCTGCACTCTGGCTACCTGGTGTGCTTTCAGATGGAGCTGCTGATAGTCATCGTGGAAAGACAGGTGTGCTTTTTGTCTGACTTACCAGAACAGGGGGGCCTGTGTTAGCCTCTGTCCCTGGGTCTGGAAAGTGCCATGCTGAAGGCTTTATTTGCATCAAATATGAAAAACAGCTGCTTACTTTGGAATTGATTTTCAAGCATGGCAGGGTTTAGTTTTCAAGTTTAGTAGGTTGCTGCCTTCTGCGTGAGCAAACCATAAATATTTTGCAAAAGCTGACAGGGAGAGAACTGGAAAACTTGGCATGTGAGCAGAGGGCGGCTGAAGTGCTTGGCAGCTGGAAAGACTGGAGGACAAACACATGAGCTGAATGCCTCTGTTAAATCTCCTAGTACTGCAGGAACAATATTCCTTATTAAAATGTATTTTCTTAATTAAAACTTTGGCCAGGACAGGGGATTTAGCTACTTTTTTGGACTACCTGCTTACTAAAACATATTTTACACGGCTGGATAGAGAACTTTGGCCCCAGAGCCTGCATATACAGCCACAGGACATCCAACTGTTGAGAATTCTGGTTTTTCTCTTTAAATTAGGCCATGGACCTTGTTCGGGACAGTCCTGCCCTAAGCACTTTGGCCTCCATCACTGTCTTGCGGCCCATCTTCTACGTGCTGCAGCAGACTAACCACTGGATGTTCATGGGTTACTCCCTGGTGCCATTCTGCCTTTTCACCTGGGACAAATGGATGAAGGTATTTAGAAGCCACAAACAGACGACCCCACGTGGTCAACGCTGGTCCCTCCATCCTCTCCCCTGGGTTCTTGGCTCAAAGCTGGTTGCTGATCCCCAACCCTGCCTTTCTCTTTACAGGTGTACAGGTCTATTTATTTCTTTGGCCACGTGTTGTTCTTCACCTTGCTGCTGGTGTTGCCTTACATTCGCAGATCAATCGTGCCACGGAAAGAAAAGCTAAAAAGAGCAGAATAACAGCCAAAAGGTAAGGCTGTACGAGGTAGAGACCAGGAGGTAAAGTGGGGCAGCAATGCTGCAGCCCAAGGTGAAAGGCAAACATGGAATCAACCAAAGCAAATATAGGGCACCTCTGTTTTTCAGATTGTACCACCTGTGCATTCGTAGGAGTTGATCTGACACTCCGGAAGCAAAGCATCACCTGCCAAGTTTGCTGTGTTGAAGTCTGACTATTTTTCAACGCAAGGAGGGGGAAGGAGAAAGCACAGGGTCAGAGACCCGAAAGGAGGGGATGCGAGCGAGCCTCCTTGAGCCCCTCCACCTTCTGTCCGTTGCCTTATCTCTGCCGCCCCGTGGCCGGCGCTCGACTCTCCGCTGACACCCCATGATTGTACCACACTCACGGCAGGTGCTGCGTTGGATTGGAGCCACCTTCTGACTTTTCTACGTTTGTCATCTAAGATAAAAATTGCTCCTGGTCTTTTTAACATCAGCTTCAGCTCCTTTCGTCTTGGGTGCCTCGGTGTGGGAGTGTGAACTGTCACATGCCGCCGAGCAAGGCGATTCTACAGGACCGAGTGACACCAGGGTGAGCAGGGCATAGCTAAGAATTACACTTCTGTGTGACAAATTTGGGCCAAGTCCCTGCTATAAGGGGTTCCAGCCTGCCCACATATGAAAAATGAGAAAGTAAAATTCACGAACGCTTTTTACTCAAAAAAGGTACCTTTAATAGGAGGAAAAAGGGTCAGTGGGGCAGTCTGTTTAAAGTCTCATTGCTTCAGAAGCTACAAGGACAAAGTTGAATTGTTTTCCAGGAGCCCAAAGATGCACCAGGTCCACACCCAAGTCAAAGAGCCCTTCCAGAATGTGAAGTCACTGTATACAAGTCCGTCATGACAGCGGTAGCAGCAGAAGCTCATACTATTCCCCACACTTCCTCAAAGGCAGTAGTAATTTTAGCACACGTCAGGGCAGCAGAAAGTGGATAGTTGCTGATGGAGACCATCTTTTCTGTATAGTCAACATTGACCTGGGAGAAGAGGAGGGGAAAATAGAACAAAACAAAAAATTACCAAGTTGCAAAAAGTTTTCACTGAGCCCCATCTCCATTAGTACAAGAAAGACAAGGAGCCACTGGAGAGGGTCCAGCAGAGGCTAGACAGATTATTGGGACATGGAACCATCTTTATGAGGAGAGACTGCAGGGCCTGGTTTGTCTAGGGAAGGGAAGATTGAGAGGAGATCTCGTTAATGCACATAAATATCTCAAGGGTGGGTGCCTAGAGGGTGGTGCCAGACTCTTTCCTCTGGTGCCCAGCAACAGGGCAAGGAGCAGTGGCCATAAACACAAGAAGTTTCACCACAACATGAGGAAGAACTTCTTTACTCTGAGGGCGGCAGAGCACTGAACAGGCTGCCCAGGGAGGCTGTGGAGTCTCCCCCTCTGGGGACATTCAAAATCCACCTAGATGTGTTCCTCTGTCACCTGATCCAGGTGACCCTGCCTTGGTAGGGGGCTGGACTAGATGATCTCCAGAGATCTCTTCCAACACTAACAACTACAGAGGCACAGTATTTCCTCAGCAAGGAAACTGCCAGCCTTCCCTTGGGAGGGACAACAGTCCCAAGTGTTGCAGTTTTGGGCCTTTTTTGACAAGCACACAGGGGAAAATAGGGGGCTGGGTAGAGGGGAAACCAAGCCAAAAAGGGCAGATAAAACCTCCATATTCAGAACAAGACAGAAACCTTTTCACAGCCCCAGGTGAGGGATACACACACTTACCAAGCCGTGGGCAAAGGCTCCCACCACGATGACAACTGGATCTGCTGCAGGAACCAGCTCACGCAGATCTGACACCTGTGATGCTGCAAAAGAGGTGCCAATCTTCATACAGCCCACAGGCAGATGGTCAGTCACTGGGTTTTTAATCACCTGCAGAAAGCAGAAAATTAATAGGGGTGTAGAGGTAACAGACCCTGACACATAGCTAGATCTATTGTTTGCTAAAAGCAACAAACAAACAGAAGATTCATCAGCTGGTTGCAGGCTGCATCAGGAGCTCATGACTGGTGCATCTGGAGCACTCCATCCTCATTGTCCTTGGTGGTGCTGTCATTCCACAGCCAACACTGTGTACTCAGTTCAACATCACAGACTGCCCTCGCCCAAAAATCAAATCCCCTTGAGGTACACATCCTGTTTTCCTGTCCCCCTGATTACGCACCAAGTACACCCAGGTCCTTGGGCAAAACCAATCCCAGATGGGTTGAGGTATGCCCAGGATGCAGGTGATGTAGAGGTAGATGAGCCTTGGCTGTGGGGAGCAGTAGAATGAGTAGCAGAGCTCCCCATGAGCAACAGTGCAATTCCTGAGTAATCCAAAATCAAAAAAGTCCACAAGACCTTCTCCAAGTGACAGCAGGTAATATGGAATAGCCAGGAGAAGCTGAGGCACAGCACTGCTCCCAGAAGAGCATCCCAAACACCACCTTCTCCTGCAAAGAAGCCATGAAGGACTCATGGGGCAGCAGGGTCAGGATCCCCAGGCACAGGGACAGAACAAACCCCAGCAGGTGTGTCCAAGTGTTGCCAGTCTCAGTGTGTAGCTGGAAGATGTTCTTGAAACAGGCACAGAGGGATGGCATGGAGGACCAATAGTTCCCTTGAGGCAACTCTGTCTCATCTTGGCTGGCAAGCAGGCTGCTGCTGGGATTTAAAACCACTCTTCTTAGGAGAGTCCAGATTTTCCACCAGAAAGTTACAACACACATTTAATTTATGGTTAGTTCTTCTTTGCTTCTGGGAGTCTTGCTGACCTGCCTGCTGACCCTTGTCTTTGGGCAGATGCATTGGCTAGGGCCAAGCCCTCTCTGCCAAGGTGACATCACCATCAGCTTCCTCAGGCTGCTGCTTTTCTGGCATTTCTAGCACCAAGGGTAGTTCTTCATGTGAAAAATCTGATATCATGATTAATCCTTTGTCCCTGTGGTTAATCCAGTCTTCCTCTCAATGACTGCAGAAGCCATTCCAGTTAATTACATCTTCATTTCCACCTCTCTCTGCCTTTTTGAAAGCTGTACCCAAAAAGTGTCAATGTCCAGGTGTGGCAGTCAGGCTCACTTGAGGAAACAGATCCCTCAGCTCCAAAGACAGGTGTATTTGGGGTTTCCTTCCTGCAGCAGCAGCTCCTAGCCAGGTAGCACGTGAGAGAGCCCCCCCTGGAACCAGCACCCCTCGCAAGGATGGGATAGCACCCCTAGCAAGGAATTGCAGCCACACCCACAACCGAAAAAAAACCCCACCTCCCCCACAAAAAAATCCCTCCTGCATTGCCATTAGAATGTTGCAACATTACCTACAGTGAACAGTTACAGAGTATTTACCTTCAGCAGTTTCTGAGGCCCGTCAGCTGCTCTAACACTGAGCTTATGCAGCAGCTGAACTGCCAAAGAGAAAACAAGAAAAAAAATCACTTAAGCTGTGTGGGGATTTGCTGCACGAATCCCATGCTGTGCCTGAGCCGAGCTACACAAAAAAGCCCACCTCTAGAGTTCCTATCACAGTCTGAAAATACTTCTTTTGCTGACAGCACAGCCTCCTGCAGGCACTCCCCACTGTGCTAAGGAGCACACGGTTGGGGTATGCATCCTGCAACATCCCAGAGAGATGCTTTCAATTCTGAGCTCTTCTCTCACTTTCACATTTTACAGCCAGTGCCAGTTTTTGACTTTTCCCAAAGTTCCCCCAGTCCTGGCCACCTTCCTGTATTATTCTATAGCTGGTGTACAGTTTGAATCTCTTACCCATAAGACCACAGAATCGATCAAAAGTTCTTGGGATTCTGGTTTGGGGATTGACTTCAATGAGAACATTCTTCTTGGTGTGGATGTAAACCTGCAGGAGCCCAGCCCGATTCAGGGGGCTGTCCATCAGCATCAGGAGGCTCTGAAAGCCAAAAGCACACGGTAGTAGAAAGGCACAGGAGAGAGAATCTAGGGAAAATTGACTGTTAGTCCCCACAAATGCAGAAGGGACCGGTGTCGAGGCTGAAAGCTCATGCCACTATAGGATGCAACGCTACAACGCTAAGAAATCAAGCCCAGACCCAAACAGCGACTCAACCCAAAACCCACCAGCGTAGCGGGAGAGGCCAAACTCGCCCCCGGGC